TTTCAATCATGTTTTACGTATATGCCGAATAGTTTTTTTTGCTCTTAGACCTCTTAAATTTGTTTAAATTTGTGTAATCAGCTTCAGCAATGTCAAAAAAGCCTATTAAAATCAAGAGTATAAAAGTAAACAACCAAAAATTAATCATTTTCGTATGAAAATGATATAAAGTGGATTCCACACTTTCAGGCATGTTGCGCGAATATGATGAATAGTTTGTGTGCACTTAAAACCATTAAATTTGTTTAAAATTACCTAAGCAACGTCAGCGAAGTCAAAAGAAGTCAATTGAAAACAAGGGTATAAAAGAAAACTATCCAAAATTAATAATTTTTGTTTATAGTTAAATAAAGTGGATCCCACACAAATAAAGTGGATCCCACACACTTTTAGTCATGTTTTACGAATATGCTGAATAGGTTTTGTGGACTTAAAATTATTAATTTTGTTTAAATTCGCCTAATCAACGTCAACAAGGGTATAAAAGAACGCCCCCCAAAATTAATCTTTTTCGTATTAAAATAAAATAAAGTGGATTCCACACTTCCAGACAAGTTATACGTATATGCTGAATAGTTTTCGTGCACCTGGAACCCATAAATTTTATTTAAATTTATCTAATCAACTTGATCAATGTCAAAATGTCATTTGGAAAGAAGGGCATGAAACAAAATTAATCATTTTCGTATAGTGAGTCTCACACTTCGAAACAAGTTGTACGACTATGCTGAATAGTTTAGTGGGTTCCCCACTTCCAGTCATATCGTACAAATAGTCAACTGTCAACTAAGCCAAGCAGCTTAAATATCATATTTAAAAACTTAAAGTATGTTGCACACATTCAGTCGTGTCGTACAAACATTCTAAACAATTTCAAAACATTCACAAAACTGTAAAATAAAAGAATCACCCTGTCTATAGAAAATATCTATCGATTTTTCACCTCAAAGACTAATTAGTTGTTTTAATTAACATCAAAATTGTTAATTGAACTCAGACCAAGCTAATTAGAGGTTTACAAAGCTAAATCGAGTTTGGAAAATAATAATAAACGTATTTCGTGGGAATTTCATGATTAAATTAGGTGATAAACGTTGAAAAGCATCCTTATTTTGTTATTTTACAATAGAGATATTGTAGATTTTCACATAATTATTTAAACTTTCTTTTTACACATACATTTTCATAAATAAAAAAAATTATTCTTTATATAAATCAGTTTATTACAATTTTACAATGAAAAGCTTTTAAAAATATGTTTATTTTATTAAAAAACACATTAAATAATTACAAAAAACCATTAGTTAATTTGCCGTGACATGTTTATATTAGACATTGATTGACATGGACATAAAAATAATTATTTTCAACGCCAGAAGTTAAAAATAATTATTTTATTTTAACCACCTACACCATTTAAAAATAATATTTACTCAAATAAACGCCATTAAAAAATAACGAAGAGTACGGGCAAAATAAATGAAGTCTAGAGCTTGACCTAGACAAAATTATTATTGATTGTCATTCCCCGTTCATTTAATTTAATATAAACCATACCTTTTTCTTAGCTCGTTCAAATCTTCTACGGAACTTGTCAGATCTCCTTCTATAATTACGTCACCACTGTCTTCCCTACAATCGCCCAGATCACCGTGACACCTTTTTCTGTGACTCGAACTGAAGCTCTCGTCACTGATCACCAAGATACCCGCTCTACTCTGTCTCAGTCTGTACCTTTTTGGTTTTTCTACGTCCTTGATCTTGAAAAATGTACAGAGTGTCAATGAAATAGTGTACCAAATTTCAGTGGGTGATTTTTCAGATAAAAACAAAACAAAATGTTCCTATAAACAAATGAAACTTAAAGCAGTATTCAAGAACATGGAAGACCCCATAAGTGGTATAAACTTTTGTACGACTGATATCGGAGATGGAGAACTAATTTCTATAAAACAGTCTTAGATACTGGCTTTTGTAAAAGGCCTGAGACTTTATAATGAGTTATAACTCAAGAAGATCTGTAAGAGTGAAGGCTGTAAGGATTGTAAATAATATCAGGAGCTGTAACTTCTTCAGGAAGCATTTTAAAGCATATATGTCTAGAGGAACTTTTTGTTTTATTTTTATCCAAAGAATCATCTACTGAAGTTTAGGACACTATTTTTTTCCACACCCTGTAAAGTTAAAGTATAAAAAAATATGGATTTACCTCGAAATTTTGAGGTTTGTTGTTGCAAAAAACTGTCTCAGCTGTTTCCAGATATCCCGGAACAGGCTTTTTTCTGTTTCTATCGCTAGATCTATCCACGGAACATGCCCGGTAAGGCGTGGTATCCAGAAAATTTTTGTAACCATCTCTTTCTGCTCTTTTCAGGCTTTCTTTTAAGTTGTATTTGTGCCAGGACTTCTGGAATAAATCGTCACTACCAGTTCTTCGGTGGTAAGGTCTTTGAACGTGTTGAGATGGTTTTGATTTAACTAAAAATTAGCAAAATTTCAATATAATCCAGAAATACCGGGTGTTTTTCAATTTTTATACACAGTATGTCCCCGGATTGTCTTTAAAAAAATGGTATAAAGTGGGCACACTTTCAGTCATGTTGTGCGAATATGCTGAATAGTTTGTGTGCATTTAAACCATTAAATTCGTTTAAATTGATCTAAGCAACGTTAGCAAAGTCAAAAAAGTCCAATTGGAAACAAGGCTATAAAAGAAAACTCCCCAAAATTAGTAATTTCGTTTAAAATTAAATAAAGTGGGTCCCACACTTTCAGTCATGTTGTAAGAATGCATTTTTCTCAAAATGTCAATAATAATATAATAAAAAGATTTTCCACTTGTAAAGCCAATGCGGGGACATACTGCAGACCGACAGTGTCAAATCATACCTTGAATGTCTATTACATCGCTTTTTGACTTTTGCAGTCCGTACAGTCTTCTTTGCTCTATATCTCTGAGTCTCTCATTTAGTGTTCTTTGTGTTGACGGCCTGTCAACAGGTACCTCACCTAAGACTCCTTTATCTAAAGAAATATTTACGTACATTTATAAACAACACATAATACCGTATGATCGAAAAAAAAAGGCGTCAAAGACAACTGGGGAATGACAATCGATGATCCTTTTGACTATGTCAAGCCCTAGACATCATTATTTGGCCCTTACTGATTTTTAAAATGATTTTTAAATGGTGTCTTATACTTTTTTAATGTGTGTGTTGTTTCCCAGTGTTCATTTTTGACAAGTTTTATGTCAATTTTTTACGTTTAGAGAGTGGCCTCGCCAAAATTATCATCGATTGTCATTCGCCAGTCGTCTATCACACCGTTTTTTTTCAATAATGAGGTACTTGCACTTATTTCAAAAACATCCTGTATGTTAAGTAATTTTTTTATCTTTACCTTTGTTTCTACTTCTGCCACTACTAATTACAGCTTCACTAGACCTATTTTTTCTTCTACTAGGTAGTACTGAATCAGTTAAAGTATCGCTGCGACATCTTTTGACATACTTGTTTTTTAAACGATTTGATTCAAACTCACTAAAAAATAAAAAGAAAATTAATAAATAATAAAAATTTAAAAAAACTTTACTAATTTTGCAAAGTAAACAAAGTCGGTTGGATAAGAAAATATAATATTAAATTAGGTAGGTCTGTCTTTCCAACTAACTTTTAGCAATTAACTTTAATCTCTTTACTGTTCTACTTTTGGATTCGTCGGGGATTGTACAGTGAGTCTGATATTGCAAAAGTTTCATTAAGTTTCTAGAAACTTGTGTTGAATCTTAGTTTATTTCTAAATAAATCTTTTGTTTGTAAGATACAAAACTCTAAGAAAGTTTTTTCCGACTGTTCAATACAGGCCAGCTTATGTATTTATTAAAGTCTGTACCTTGTACAGGGTGTCCCACTAAGAATAGCTCTCGGCTGTATCTCGGAAAGTATTAGCCGTAGCGAGTGCGGAAAAAAATATTTATAACTAAAGAGGCTATGGGAAATTGCCGGAAATTATTTTCAAGTTTGTAGAACGACCGCTAGGGGGCGCAACTGCAACAAAAAATAAGAAAATGGAGTTTTTACACAATTTTGCATAGATAAGGTGTACTATAAGTAACAGCTTCATAATCTTCAGTAAGTTTTGAATATTTTTTGTTAGAGCCATTTTCCCCTATCTACCAAAATAAAGTGGTGGGGGAAGGTTAGATCTGTTTTGATTTGAATATTAATAACTCTGGACTGGATGATCGGAATCCAACAAGCTCGGGCTCGTTTAAAAGAGCGTTTCTTACTCTATATTGTGCCATATAAACAATAATAATAAGCTTTTGAACGTAGACACTAGGGGGCGTTGTCTTACAATTTAACAAACATTGCGCGTTTTTTCAAAAAAATTAAATGCAACAGTATACGTACTTTTAGCTGATAGTAAAGAGTAGTAAAAGCTTAAAAAGTCAGCGAAAACCGCATCTTGATATCTTCTTTCAAACCGAAGATATTAGCAAAATTATAATAAATACCAAAAAATAAGCCCTTAATTACCTTATTTTTACAACACGGTATCAGTAGCCCTCTTGATTATGCCCATTCTAATCTAAAAATAAGATAAAAACAGTTAGTTTATTTTAAAATCGACGATATACCAGAATATTATAATAGCAGATGTATTAATATCTAATAATTAAGACATTAATAATAGTGAACAAGAAACGATGATTCAGTGAAGTCATGGTAGGCTTTGGAAAAAAGTTGCTTTTGACGTAATAGTATAAACGTCAAATTGTTATTAGATCAACAGTGTGATCAACATTTGATAGTCATAGCAGAGTTTTTTATCTTTTGATTGCTTTTTAAAAATGCCAACAAATTCAACTACTTCAAATAATAAAAGCATTTTGAAAAAGCATTTAAAAGATAAAAAACGCTGCTGAGACTATCAAAATGTTGATCTAATAACAATTTGACGTTTATACTATTACGAAAAACAACTTTTCCAAAGCGTTTCTTATTCACTGAATCATCGTTTCTTGTTCACTATTAATATCTTAATTATTAGATATTAATACATCTGGCTATGGTATTCTGGTATATCGTCGATTTTAAAATAAACTAACTGTTTCTATCTTATTTTTTGTTCGGGCCTAATCAGAGGGCTACTGATACTGTATTGTAAAAATAAGGTAATTAAGAGGCTTATTTTTTGGTATGGACTTATAATTTTATCTTCGGTTTAAGAAGATATCAAGATGCGATTTTCTGCTGACTTTAAGCTGCTACTACTCTTTACTATCAGCTAAAATAACACATACTATTGTATTTAATTTTTGGAAAAAACGCGCTATGTTTGTTAAATTGTAAGAAAGCGCTACGTTCAAAACCTTGTGTATTATTTTATGCTTATAATATAGAGTGGTGAAACGCTCTTTCGCTGAGCTCTCATTATTGGATTCTGATCGTTGAGATGAGAGAGAGAGAGTAGTCCGGAGTTATTAACATTTAAATAAGACAGATCTAACCTTCCCCACCACTATTACAACTGACAGGGGGAAATGGTTCTAACAAAGAAAATCCAGAATTTACTAAAGATTATGAAGCTATTATTTATAGTACCCATTATCTAGGCAAAATTCTGTAAAAAATCGTATTTTTATTTTCCATAGCAGTTGCGCTCCTCTTATTTCGTTTTAAACTTGAAAATAATTTCAGAAGATTTCTCATAGCCCCTGAGTTATACATATCTTTCCGTAGGCCCTGCGGCTAATACTTTCCATACAGCTCAGGACTCTGTAAGGACATCCTGTAAGTAACTAATATATATTATTTGTTCGAATATAAATCTGTAAAATTATGGAAAAAGTTACCTGATTTTTGCCAGTTTCTGTTCAAGATTCTCCTTCTGCATTTTTGTATATGTATTTGAGTTCTATCAGCTTTAGTATCCGAGCTTTTCCAACTTTGTCTTGAACTGGAACCATCATCTTTGGTTTCAACTAAATTTTAATATTAGATCACTAACTTCATACCTTTTACTTTATTGAATTTATCTTTTTTTTTTGTTTAATAGCACTTTTAGGCTTAAATAAGTATCATTCAAACCAAAATATATATTAGTTATTAGTTAAGACACCTTAAAGACACTAAAATGAAAAAATAAAAAAGAACACACTTCTAGGCATAACAGAGACTTTAAATAAAATATATTCTTTGACTAAAGCCTCCGCTACACTTAACGTTTTATCTTACGTTTTGCCTGTCAGTCAAAAAAAAAAGACATACAAAAATTAACTAATCGAGGTAAATGCTTACCAAGAAGTTTCCCTTTAGAGTTATAAAGCTGAATCGTTGGTAAACTAATATGTGGCGAAGATCTCGAAGTTGACAGTTCCCAATTCCAATTTCTGGGCTTCTTCAGTTGCAGTCTAATAATTTCTTTGAGATAGTCTTCAGCTCCCGTCATTATAGGCGATCTACCTAATAAAAAAACTGTGTTTAAAATAGTTAATTTGATGTAGTCACTTGATTTAATAAAGCAGGCCATCCACTGGAGAAACAGACTGAAACACAGGACTTCATGCAAGGACCTAATTCTAAAATCACAAAGAAACTATACAGGATGGTCCGAACTGTATTCCGGAAACTTCGGCAGCATATTCTGTAGATAAAAATAAGTAAAAAATTTCGTATAAATATATGTCCGAAAATGCTTAGTTTCGGAGATACAGGGTGTAGAAGTTTCATTTTTATTTCGATTTTTTCCAAATAATTTCTGAAGTAATCTCGATATTTAGATGAAAATTTGTGTCTTGGAGTATTTTGACATGAGAAATTTGATTTTGATGTCAATATGACTCCTACTAGTAGAGGGCGCCACCTAGATATTTTTTAATTGGTTTGAAAAGTAATAACTATTTGTCCGTACCTGTATAAAACTACTGAGTAAAAAAATATACATTTACGACGTTTTTTACGTAAAAAATGTCTCTTGGTAAAAATCGCAACTACTATTGGTTTTCGAGATATTTGGAATCGAAATTATCAATACCTGTCATCATTGACATAAATTAAACATATTGACTACATAGTTATTAGACTGAGAGCATAAATTTGAAAGTTTTTGTGCCAAAAGTTCAACAGAAACTGTTTTATCATCATTTTTTTGCAGAAAAAATTATGATTAATTTAAAAAAATAAAAATTTTCCAAATTTATTATTTCAGTGAAATAACTATCTACTCAACGTGTTTATTTTTCATCAATAATGACATGTATTGACTATTTCGACTCTAAATATCTTGAGAACGGTTGCTCGTAGCGATTTTTACATAGAGATATTTTTTACGTAAAAACTCACAGAGATATATATTTTTTTTCTCGGTAGTTTTATACAGGCACGGACAAAAGTTATTACGCTTCAAAACAGTTAAAACACATGTATGTGGCGCCCTCTACCAGTAGTAGAGTCATATTTATATCAAAATCAAATTTCTCATGTCAAAAAACTCCTAGACACCAATTTTCATCCAAATATTGACGTTACTTCAGAAATTATTTGGAAAAAATCGAAATAGAAATGAAACTTCTACACCCTGTATCTCTGAAACTAACCATTTTCGGACATACATTTATATGAACTTTTTTTATTTATCAGCAGAATATGCTGCCGAACCACCCTGTATACTAATACTGAGCAGGAATAAAATACGGATTACAACAGGTTCCTTGACAGGACATATGGCTGTCAAGTGATAACTGAACAAGCTCAACTTGTATCAAGGAAGTCTTTGCTTCAGACTCCATGATAAAGATCCTGAAACAGCTAGAGCACATAATGAATACTTTCTATTTGGGGAAAGCATAACTAGAATTGAAGGAACTATGCTCCGATCTATCAAGGACCTGCACAAGTTGGTGCAGGGTACAGGGGTAGGAGATCAGGTGGAGACATAGGCAGGGGGGGACAAACACAATTGAGCTTACATGTCGTAGTGTTTCTGACATAGGATTGACCCTTAACACTTAGAAAAAAAAACTAGTTTTAAGTATATAAAGTTTCATTAAGAACCTCGTAATTAGTGGTTGCAGTAAGCGTAGAAATTTGTTCCTCTAATGCCAATGTAAGAATTCAGAGCGTCAAAATTAGTACTGGTAATTTTCGATCGAAACTTTTAATTTTTTCCACTAATTACACTTGCTAGTAATGTCATTTTGACTTTTGATTATTATCATCCGTCAAAATTAATTGTGGTTAAAATAAAGCCACTATAACACTATCAAATGTCTTTTTTAATATTTTATTTAAGGATAAAGATATTTTGTGACAGGATTTGACAGCGTAATATGTGTAATTTTATAAGATATTGTATATTAATACTGTCAAATGTTTCATCAAATATCTTTTTAAAAGATCTTTTACAAAGAAATTTTATAGTCTCATAGTAGCCTTAAGCTTCATTCAGAACCTCCCAATTAGTAGAATAAATTAGTCGTTTAAATTAGTGGTTTCAATAAGTCAATTAGAAGTATGTTTCTTTAATTTGAATGTAAGAACGTCAAAATTAGTGGTAGGAATTTTGAATTAGTCGAAAAAGTTATCAAACTTTTAACTTTTCCACTAATTATATACTCTGTTTTTTTTTCTCAGGTAAGATTTCGACAGACGATGACAGAAGAAAAGCAGATGACGTCTCATACCAATCTATTTATTTTACTAAAAAAAGTTTCTAATAATTTTTAAGTTAACTATGGATGGCTTTAAATATAAATTCGTCATGCGTCGTCACTTGTTGTTTTTAACCAGTTTTATTGGTTTATTTCAAAAATGACAGATCGTACTTCAATTTTATTGGTTTGACGGAACGATGAACGATAAACGGACGCCGATGCGTATGAACTCGCCTTTAGATTTTTGACGTTTGTCAAAGTCTTGCTAAATTATACGTTATAATTTTGTGACAACTTTTGTCAAATAGCCTGCGTTTTGGAAGATGATGCATTTTGATTCGTGTTATTACGTGTGTTTTGTGTCTTTTGAAGTCAAGTAGAGGAAAAATCGAGTGAAAACTAACTGTAGAACCCAGAGCACAGTTTATGGTCAATACTCGCTGCCCAGGCAGAAAGTCTTATACTGTGGTCTTATACAGATACACCAATAAAGTTACTATCAATAAAGTTCGTATACCATCTCGTCGTAGATAAGTGCATCTCAAATATGGTAGAAGGACCATACTAAACACATACTAAAAACTGGAGTAGCTGTAAAATATCGACATCACACGATAGGTAAATAATGGATTTTTAGTACTTTGCAGAAAAATAATGTCAAAGGTACCGGTTTAAAATTAAGATTAAAGTTAATTAATCAACCTGTGAGGTATAAAAAATTTGGTAAGTGTTATTATTAATAAAATAGTTTGTTTTATTTGTGTTGTTTTTATTTATTCCTGCGGAATATTACAAATTTCTATTTGTAGATAAGTTATATTGATAAATATAATCATAAATGCGGGAAGTTTCATAAGCTTGAAAGTAAGAAATAGTTCTTTTTATATATTTTTTTAATGGTATGTGGTGTCTTGTTTTTGTTTGTTTTGTGTTTTTTTTTTTTACTTTTATTAAATAAAATAACCCGATTACATTTTTTCAGTTTTATACAGTTTTTTTCACAATATTTTGATGTTACTTGTCAGTCAAATTTTAAATAAATATATTAATTTCCTGCTATGCGTTCCAGTTGGACCAACTTATTTCTTTGTAAAATAAAATAAACGACTTTGAAATTAAAATGACAGACACATCTATCACTGTCAAGGATCTTCTCGTTGGATAGACTATACTTCAAAATTTGCGAGAAATGTCATTTTGGCGTTTGATTATCATCCGTAAAGTAAAATTGTGGTTAGAAATCAAAAGGTTATTGTTTTATAAGCTAAATATTAGCCTTTCTCTAAGGATACAACTGATTACCTCAAGCGGTTGCTAGGATATTCTATTAATTTTAATTGTCTTTTAGACATTGTGAATGATCGTAAACTAAAAGTATAAAGTGTAATTAATTTAAACCACTAATATATTCCACTAATTGGGATGTTCTGAATGAAACTTAAGAATTCAAAATTAAAATGAACCAATAAAGTCGAGTTTAGTATAACGGAAGGATAAAAAAAACAAAGAAAAAACGTATAAGCAAAAATTACACATTTATTGAAAAGAATTAATTATTTAATGCATTAACACACACTTTAATTTTAGTAATTAATTGTTAAAAATATAATTTAAACATATTTACCCACTACTCTGACGTATTTAATAATATACAAACGATAAAACTATAGAAAAAAGCACTTTGAGATCTCCATAACAAGTTTCAAACACCTAGTAATTACCGAAGGGTATTTTTTTGACTACAAACTCGAATTTTCAATGGCAAATTTCACAATGGCGCACTGCCACCACCGGTTGATGAGTTTTGAAAAATAATTTTTACGAAATCTTAATAGTTACGCTGTTCGTGATGACTCTTGGCAATGGTATGGAATGAAAACAGTTGCGGGATTTTTTGGCAGTGCCCGAAGTAGGGCAGTACCGGATTGGAGAAAAATTTTAAGTTCATTAGTTGGGTAAAATCTTTGAATAAGAAGACTAAGGAAGGAGCATATCAAAAATCTTAGGTACACCACGATGGGCCTCATATATGGCCGACTTAAATTCCGGTTTATCAGTGTCGTTCCAATTTTATTTAAAAAATGTAAAACTATGATGTAGGGTAGACGTGGGGTAGACTCAATAATTTGTTGTTTTATTTTACGTTGTGAATAAATGTTGGTAGTTATTAAAATTGTTATAAAAATATATAATTCTAATAAAATAGATAAGTATTTATTAACACAAACATCGATACGCTACTGAAGCAGGTAAGTCAAATTAACGATATCTAAATTCTTTGACATCTAATCTTTGACAAGTAATAAATAAAAGCTAAAATGCAAGAAAAATATATAATTTAGTTAATTTAAGTGAATTTCATAAATGATCGGTTTTTACTTACGTATGTATATTATATAGTCACTTACTAGCGAAAAGTTGTTCCATTATTTCACTCAATTTTTGCCGGGATCTACCGCACGCTACAACCAACTATTTAGAGTCTTTTCGATAAATTGCAATAGTACCTGTCACTGTTTGTTAATTTAAGTTCTGTTACAATTTCCATCTAGATTTACTACCTTTATACAACTATCAGTAGTAGAATAAATAATAAATAACATAAAATAAGCTCCGCAAGACTGACAAATCAACAAAATTTCAAATCAAATTCAAATGTGTCAAATGAATCGTCAAACAGAACTGTCAAGGATCCCCACCCTAGAGAGCTTTTATGGTGGCTTTTCCGCCCACCATGCATGAATACATGGATATCATTATGCTCCTTCCTTAGTCTTCTTATTCAAAGGGTAAAATTATATATCTACAATTTTTATATAAGTGTTTTTTTTAGGGTTCCGTACCCAAAGGGTAAAAACGGGGACCCTGTTACTAAGACTTTGCTGTCCGTCCGTCCGTCCGTCCGTCCGTCTGTCACAAAGGTCTATCTTATGAACCGTTATAGCTAGACAGTTGAAATTTTTACAGATAATGATCTATGTTGCCGCTATAAGAACAAATACTAAAAAAAGAATTAAATAAATTTTTATAAATAAAAAAGTACTTTCAAACAAATTAAGCATAGTAAAATTTTACATAGAATCTTTCAAATCCTCGGTAGCCGCGTGGTTTAAAGCGGTAGGACTTTACGCTGCTATGACGTTGGAGCCGTAGTAAGGCAGGTTCGAATCTTAGTCAAAGGTGACTTTAATCGTTTTTTAATTTATAAAAAAAAAAAAAAAATATTTTTACTTTTACATATTTATTATTGATTAACAATTTTTTAGTAATGTGTTTCTTCATTTTTTAAATTATATACGCGCATTCAAAATTTCAGCTAAATGGGAAAAAAAGTTTATAATAATATAATGTCTAAAGTTGTATAGATAATGGATGGTACGGAACTAACTGTTGGGTCAATGCCACTTAGCCCAATTTTTATAATTTTAATAAATATTAGTCGAATTACAAGCAGGTTTGCTAGTTAGGCCATCATGTCTTCGTATATAATTAATAACTTCAATCTATAACTATTCAGACCATTGAATTTACAGAATTGTACCAATGTTACAGATTTGTACCAAAAAAAAACATTTTTTAATACTTTTAATACAAAATTATCAATTTTTAACAAATAGGCATACTTTTTATTATTAATCCTGGATACGATACTGTCTTTCTGCCGAGACTTTTATTGTTAGAATGACTCGCGCGTGTGTGTTTGGTACTATTTCTGTCTCACCCACACTATCAGTACGAAATTCGAAAATGCTATTTTACGTGTATCGTCTGTCCGTGTTTACTTTTCTGCACCAACAGATGTTTTATCGCACGGATTTGAAATTCTGAAAACAACTGATTTTTAAATAATTTGTGTTTGAATTTTTAAATTATTTTTTAACATTTTTTTTTTTTTTTTATTAATAAAATACTTATCAGATACCTTTTAAACTTGTAAATCACTTTTAATACTATCGCTGGAAGAATAGAATGTTTTTAAATGAATTTATACCCCACAACCGAAAAATCCTACTTCTTCAGCTAATGGTAAACTGCTGATGGACACAGCCGTCCAATTCGAAAGGACCCAACCCGGGAAAGTTTTCTCGTTATAATTCGGTTTAATATATTCTTTTGATGATAATAATGTTATTTAATAATGAATTGCTAACCCAAGAAGAATTCTACTTCTTCAGCTATTGGTAAACTGCTGATGGACTCATGCCATCCTGTTCGAAAGGACTCACTCAGGAAAGTTTCCTCGTTATAATTCGGTTTAATATATTCTTTTGATGGTAATAATGTTATTTAATAATGAATTTATACCCCACAACCGAAGAATCCTACTTCTTCAGCTAATGGTAAACTGCTGATGGACACGCCATCCAGTTCGAAAGGACCCGGTCCAGGAATATTTCTTGTTATAATTCGGTTTTAATATATTCTTTTGATGATAATAATGTTATTTAATAATGAATTTATACCCCCACAACCGAAGAATCCTACTTCTTCAGCTATTGGTAAACCGCTGATGGACACATGCCATCCTTTTCGAAAGGACTCACTCCAGGAAAGTTTTCTCGTTATAATTCGGTTTTTAATATATTATTTTGATGATAATAGTGTTAATTTAATATCGTATACCTGAAAACCGAAGAATCGTACTTCTCCAGCTAATGGTAAGCTGCTGATGGACACATACCATCCAGTTCGAAAGGACTCAGTCCAGGAATGTTTTCTTGTTATAATTCGGTTTTTAATATATTCTTTTGATGATAATAATGTTATTTAATAATGAATTTATACCCACAACAGAAAATTCTAAACTATTCAGCTATTGGTAAACTTCTGATGGACACATGCCATCCAGTTCGAAAGGACCCTTCCAGGAATGTTTTTCTTGTTATAATTCGGTTTAATATATTCTTTTGATGATAATAATGTTATTTAATAATGAATTTATACCTAACCGAAAGAATCCTACTTCTTCAGCTATTGGTAACTGTTGATGGACACATTCCATCCTGTTCGAAAGGACTCACTCCAGGAAAGTTTCCTCGTTATAATTCGGTTTTAATATATTCTTTTGATGATAATAATGTTATTTAATAATGAATTTATACCCCACAACCGAAAAATCCTACTTCTTCAGCTAATGGTAAACTGCTGATGGATACATGCCATCAGTTCGAAAGGACCCAGTCCAGGAATGTTTTCTTGTTATAATTCGGTTTTTAATATATTCTTTTGATGATAATAATGTTATTTGAAATAATTTATGCCCCGACGAAAGAATCCTACTTCTTCAGCTATTGGTAAATTGCTGATGGACACATGCCATCCTGTTCGAAAGGACTCACTCCAGGAAAGTTTTCTCGTTATAATTCGGTTTTAATATATTGTTTTGATGATAATAGTGTTATTTAATAATGATTTATACCCCACAACCGAAGAACCCTACTTCTTCAGCTAATGGTAAACTGCTGATGGACACATGCCATCCAGTTCGAAAGGACCCAGTCAGGAATGTTTTCTTGTTATAATTCGGTTTTAGTACATTCTTTTGATGATAATAATGTTACTTAATAATGAATTTATACCCCCACAACCGAAGAATCCTACTTCTTCAGCTATTGGTAAACTGCTGATGGACACATGCCATCCTGTTCAAAAAGACTCACTCCAGGAAAGTTTTTCTCGTTATAATTCGGTTTTAATATATTGTTTGATGATAATAGTGTTATTTAATGAATTTATACCCGACAACCGAAAGAATCCTACTTCTTCAGGTAATGGTAAACTACGTAACTTGT